CCCTGCCTCTGCCCTGCCTGAAGCCCCACAGGCCCTGGGAGGGGCTTAGGTGTGTGCTGCCCCCCACCTCCTCCAGGCATGGGCCCCACCATCCTCCTCAGTGCACAGATGCTTCAGGTTTGTGGGTTTTTGTTGGTTTCGGGGGGGTTTTATGGTTGGTTGGTTGGTTGTTTTTTAAACAAAATCTTTTTTTGGAAAAAGGGAGCTCTGGGATGATGGAGCCTCATCTGGTCCCTATCACCATGCTGGTACGTGGCCCTATGCCACTGGGAGAGACAGGGGGATGCCAAGCACCCGCTGGCAAAGAAGGGGTGGCACAGAGTGCCCAGTCCTCCCGGCCAAGCCCTGGAAACTGGGCAGACTGGGCTAGGAGCATCCGGCTCCCATGGCCCCACGGCTGATGTGGGAGCATGGGGCGGGCAGCGGGTGAGAGCTGGCAGGGCCCCACGTGCCAGGGCAGTGCCACGGGTGGGGACATGTTTGCAGATATAAATCACCGTCAGAAGCAATGCGGAAGAGCAGGGGGGAATGGGCCCCGTGCTGCGCCAAGCCGGCAATTAAATATTTACCTTAGCCAGCCGTGTTTGCCAGTGATGGATCGACGTTTCCAGGGAGGAGCTTGCTTTTGTTCAAACATGGAGCAGGGCTCTCCCCAGTGCCACCAACCATGCTGGTGCCTGGGGACATTGGCCCCACCGTCACAACCACAGCTCCCACAGTAGTGTCACAGTCAAAAGGCACTTAAAAGGCTCAAATTTGGGGGAAAACAAACCAGGTTTAATCTCTGGAAGGTGAAGGAAGAAACCGAAAGGAGCCCAGGAGCTGCCCTGGCCCCTGTGGAGACGTGGGTGGGGTCATGGCACCTACTGGGGCCAAAGTGCAAAGTACAAAGGCAGCATTTCAAGTGCGGATCACCGAACAGAAACGCATCTTTCTGCCCCAGGAACGCGTGCAAGTGTGCCTAGATGAGGCGTGTAGTAAAAAGTGAGTTAAAAAAGGCTTTAAAAAGTGAACCTGTCCCCAGATAAGCCACCGACTCGTGCCCATGCCACATCATGGTGCTTGGACCCCTTTACCCACCTTGCCGTCCTACTGTGGGGCTGGTGTTCTGCAAGGGGACAGCCCGAGGGACACCGAAATGCTTTTGTCTGTGCCTGGCCCCACGTGGGACCTCTCCCAGGAGCCCCGTGGGACACCATGTCCCCAGGGCTGGGCTGTGGCAGGAGCACAGTGTCCCCAACCCCATCTGAAGGGGACAGGGACCCTTCCCAGCAGGCTGTACACAGGAACACAGGGTGGGAGCAGGGGAGCAGCATATTTGTGCCCATCAGGATCTGCCCAGCTCCCACACGGGGACATGATTTGGGTTCCTTCAGTGCCAGTGCTCTCCACTGCGAGCCCATGGGCAGGGAGCATTGGGCAGGGCAGTGCCCAGTCACATGGCCCAGCGAGGGGACCCAGTGGCCATCACCACTACGTGCCCAGGGGCAGGAATGTGACGTTGCCCTCCATGTCCAGGCACAGCCCCTGGCTGCCCTCGGGCCGCCCGCCGCCACCACCGTCCTTCAGCACTGTCCCTTCCAGTGCCCGCTGGTTGTCCACTTCCCTGAGGTGGGTGACAGGCGAGTCCCGGTCCCCAGGGCCAGGAGACAGGTGCTCAGTGTCGGCCGACTCCGAGTCATCTGTGGCCGGTGTCTTGGAGCTGCTGTTGTCCTCATCCAAGGGGCTCTCAGCCCCCTCTTGCTCGGTGTCCGACTCACCCTCCTCTTCCTCCTCCAGTGTCAGCTCAAACTGGAACTTGTCAGTGGTGGCAGGGGACGCCCCGGGTCCCTCGGGTGGTGGGGATGGGCTGCGTGGGATCATGCTCTGGTACCATTCCCGGTTGTCCTCCAGTGTGTCCAGGATCTCCTGAGCATCGGGGTGCACCAGGTCGGCCCACGTCTCCCACAGCGGGTGGGCGATGAAGTCGATGAAACCCACCTAGGGGGAAGGCAGAGCTGAGCCCCCCTAGCCTGGCCCTGTAACCCCCATCCCAGCCCCATGCCACTGCCCTACCTGAGACTTCTCCACAGAGGCGGTGTGCTTGTCGCACATGGGGCTGATCTCCATCCCCTTCTCCCGCTCCCGGTCACCTTGGCGGAAGAACTCCACCATGATGCGGTCAGTCCATTGCCGGTAGAGCTCCAGTGGCTTTGTGGGGTTGCTGAGGTCAGCGCAGTGCACCATGTTCTGCAGGACCTGTGGACACGGCATCGCTCACCCCAAAATCCCTCATCCCCTGGGGGCCACCACCTTTGTGCCAAGTATGCCCTTGGCCATGGCCAACTGGTGGCGGCACCAAACAGGTCATCATGGCAGCCCTGGCTGGAAAACCTGCACCAAATTTTCACCCATCCATGTCCCTGCGCCCACCTGGATCCGGTCGGAGTAGTTGTCCAGCAGCAACACCCCAAGGCTGGTCACCTTCTTGGTCTCCACCATGGTCTTCAAATCTGCCAGCAGGTTCATGTGCTTGGACATGTCTGTGGCCAGCACCTGGGCAGGGCACACCGGGTTCAGGGCTCAGCCTGACCCCATCACAGTCCCCCAGCCCGGACCCCCCACCCTGGGAGGGGCCAGACCCACCCCATACCATGTCGATGGCCATTTTACGGAGTGATTGCCTCTGCTTCTTGCTCAGGTTTTGGAAGATGTCACAGTTTTCCTCCTGGAGAAGCTTGAAGCCCACGGCAAGGTGGTGGTTCTCCAGCACCGAGGCATCGTTGTACATCAGCGCCAGCTCCGAGTCTGCGAGATGGCACTGGTCACCCCGGGGGTGGCTCCTGGACACCCCACATCCCCCCAGCTCCATTTCTGCACCCCGGCTCACTGGTGTTGATGAGGAACTGGTTGGAGACACCAGGGTGGTCAACATCATGGATGGCACTGGCAAAGATGGCAGCCATGATCTCCAGGTCCGTGAAGACAGCCTGGGAACAGAGTAAAAAGCTATTGCAGATGTGTTACGGCCCAACTGGACACATTTGGTGGCTTTGGGGGCCCAGAGCTCACTTCTAGCGCAGGCGTGGAGAGGAGGACATGGGTGGACTGCGCCACGTCGGCGGCGTGGATGTTGTTGTGGTAGGCCACGTCGGCGTGGTAGTGGTCCTCCAGCGTCAGCATGTATGTGATGAAGGTGTCCACGGGGATGCGGAAAGTCTTCATCAGGTCACGCTCCTGCGGGGAAGGGAGGGTAAGAGGTGGCTTGTCTCTGTCCTGGTGTGGGGACGGGGATGGGGACATCCCTTTGGGGTGCTCACCTGGAAGATGCTGTACATGATGACCGTCAGCGGGCGGTTGCCTGAGTACTCGGCCACTTTAAACACATTGAGCCCCCATTTGTTGGTGTCCTCCAGCTCCTGGGCACCAAAGGGACAAAAATCCATGGGGGCATCAGCGCTGGGGACCCCCATGGTTGTGCCAGGCCACCCATGCCGGGGCCTACCTTGGCCAGGAGCCCCTCCTGGTCCGTCCGCACCCCAAAACGGGGGATGCCGGCAGCGTCGAGGCTGGAGCCATGCATCAGCTTCCTGACACCACTGATTTGGGACATGGGGCGCTTCCTCCGCTCCTTCTCCTTGTCCTTGGCCAGCGCCGAGGGGATCTCCACCTCATGCTGCTTGTCTGGGCCAGCACGGGGGGGGACATGATTCAGGAGGGGAGCACAGTCATGTGTGTCCCCCCCTCCCTAGCATCCTCTGGTCACGCCGATGAGGACAAGTGAGGCCATGCCAATGGGGGATGCCCAGTGCTTTCCCCCACCCCTTCCTGCATGGGGCCTATGGTGGGGCCAGCCCTGGGCACCCCCCTCCAGGGACAGCCCCTGTGCAGGCTGCCCACCCTTGCACCAGTATATACCAGTATACAGCAGTATACACCAGCACTCCCAGCCAGGATAAAGGCTGCGACACCCCCAGCACAGCAAAACCCATGGGGACACTTGGGAAAGCCCCCCGCTCCCAGATCCTTACATTTAATTTTTTCACAAGAAGTGAGCAAGAATGGCCACTGGCACCATCCCCACGGCCACTGGGTGCCACAGGATTTGTGCCCACGTGTGAAGCCCACCCTGTTGCCACCAGAGAGGTGACACCCAAGTGGGTGGGGGTCTCCGGGGGGGGTGGTCCTCACCCAGGAAGGTGCTGGAGATGTACTCGGAGACCTGGTTCCCGGAGCGGCTGGGCGCCCGGGGGGGGGGCACGCTCCGCGCTCA